CCTTGGAACACAACAACAGTCATAAATATGAACCAGTTGCCAAGCATCCAAATTTTGATCATGTGACTACAGGGATAATGCAAAGGTTGTAACTGTAAAAAATGCTATTAAATTACATTTTTCGGTGCCATTGTAACTTTGAACAGTCACTAAATGAACTGTTGTAAGTTGAGGACTACCTGTGCTACATAAATGTTTGTTATGGTTATTGTTTAGTGAAACTGATCTCATGGGCTTTCTAGTAAGAGTATTGGATTCTTAGTATATATATCAGAATGAGAGAGACAGAATGATTTTACTCAGTTTGTATTTCAACTTTCATGCAGGTATTCCTACATTAATGCATTTGCCTTCATGCATAAATATAGATTTCAAGGTGCCAGAAAACCAAGTGATGCAAAAATTAACTCACAACATCAACTTTTTCAAGGGCCTAAAATTGGCCAACTAAATGAGTCAGGGAGGGACATGATAGCAGTGTTCCAATATCTCAGGGGCTGCCACAAAGAAGAGGGAGTCAAGCTATTTTCCAAGGCGCCTGAAAGCAGGACAAGAAGCAATGGATAAAAACTGATCAAGGAGAGAAGCAACTTAGAACTAAGGAGAAACTTCCTGACAGTTAAAACAATTAACCAGTGGAACAAACCTGCCTCCAGAAGCGGTGAATGCTCCAACACTGGAAGTTTTTAGGAAGAGACTGGACAGCCATTTGTCTGAAATGATGTAGGGTTCCTGCCTGAGCAGGGGGTTGGACTCGATGACCTCCAAGGTCCCTTCCAACTTTTTTATTATTACTATTATTATTATTATTATGTCAGTGCTATTAAGCTGTGTGTCATTCAACAGGAGAAAAAGTGACAGCTCCCACTGATGGCTGCAGATCCTTCATGACACAACCGGCACAGCTGGTGACCTGCTATCAAGAGAAGCCTCCTTCAACCCCATTCCTAGCCTTGTTCCGTGTTAGATCTCATTTTGGATTATGTCGGGTGGCTTTACTTTGCAACTGTAACAAAATCAGGGCTGGCATTTTCTGTTAGAATGATTGGGGAGGAAGGTGCATCCTTGAGGTGAATCCAGGAAAATTTATTTGACAAGGAAGCAGAACCAATTACAGCTCCCTGACAAACAACCTTGGATGATGTTAGCTCTCTCTGCATTCACATTGTTCATGCTTAAGGAGACATCATGTTGGAATTGTTCTACACAGCACAACTCTGGCTTTGCCCCTAAATGTACACACAAAAGAAAAAGCTGCTTGTGGCTGTAGCCTGCCAATAAGCATCACACCTGCATTTTCAAACACCTCTCACAGTCTACATTTTGGATGTATAAAAATCTGAAGTGTACACCTCTCTAAACAATATGTCTACCAGGGAACCTCACATTTCCATTGAAGTCAGCTTTGCATTATTGCCTTCTGTCAAAAGGGCAGCCACCCTAAACATTTATCATAGCGTATATCAATTTTTCCCAGTCTGGTGCCTTCCAGTCACATTTGTCTTCAGCTCCCAAGTGTCCAGCACATCTGAACAGCACCAAATTGGGGAAATCCAATAATAGATCATTTCAAAGAAAGTTTACAAAGACATCTTACATGAAAGTTCTTTCTCTCTGTGCTACAGACACAAGAACCCATCGTAATTTTTCTACAAGAAAGAATTATTTGTATGTACAATATATGTGTATGGAGAGAGAAAGGGTTTTTTTTTCCCAGTTCAGTGTACTGCCCTGGATCTATCTGCCTGATATATTTCTACACCATCTCATTGTAAATGCAATGTAATATAGTGATATTTAATGATATTTTAATTGTATTCTGGTATTATTACTGGTACATCCCCTCCAAGTAAGCATTTTGAAGATTTATATGCTGTTTTTCCAATAAAAACTCCTAGAGCAGCAGATAATGAAATTAAAAAAACAATGAATATGCAAAACCCTACAAGAATAATGAGGCAATTAAAATGATGGCAGAGATTCGGCAAAACAGATAAAATCGTTATCAAATTCATCCAAGTTACCTACTGAAATAGCTGAACAAACACCTGGAGCCGAAGTATTTACATCAGTGGCAGGCAAGTATCTTTGGGAAGAGCACTCCAGGGTGCCACAACCAAAAAGACTGGTACATTTTTTTTTCCTTGATGTAGCTTTATCTTTGGGGAAATGATCAAGTGGACAGCAAACATCCTAAAGACTCCAGTCTCTAACCTTGAATATATGAGCAGTCAGTTATTACTTGGTTTTATGAAGTAGAAATCCTAAACAAGGATCATACCTAGTTTTAGCTCTTAAAAGCAAGACCTCGTTCAGGTTGTTTTCAAGGCAACATGAATTTTAAAAAAAAGTCTGCTGAGAATCTTAGTTTTTGTCACTGGTCTCCTGTTTCAGACACTTCATTCTGGATGTATCTTTACAATCTATGGACTGATCCCCATGTTCTGCTTGGCCTGTCACCACTGCAGGCTTCTCACCACTTTCTGAGTGCAGGAAGGGATGATGTCATCCTTCTCCCACTCCCAGCCCACAGCCAATGCAACCCACAACTCTATTTTCCTGCTTTCATTCAAAACTGCTGTTTTATGACCTGAGACATTTTATGTCCTTCAGAGCAAAGGAGCTCCAGAGCTTCGTTCCATTTTAATTGAAACCCCAGTTCTGATTGGCTGCAGTGCCTCGCCTTGTCCCTCCTGTGCAGAATATGGGCTCCATGACTTTATCCCATCGAGCTGTTGGGTTTTTCTGTTCTTTTAACAATATTGAGATTAATACAACAATAGCCTGTTATATTCAGAACAATCATCCTTTATAGAAGCTCCTGCTCCATTCAACTATAAATATTCCAGTAGGCACTCTTTTGCTTTCTGTCTAGGCTGGGTGGAGCATGAACTCTTTGCTTTCTCAATTTCTGCTTCCATTCCTATAAAGCTTCCCTTCCCCTTTTTAAAAAAACATATTTAAGTTACAATGTAAGAACATTTCTGCTATATGAAGCTGAATACACAGTTATCCCTTGCTATAAAGTTTCTATGGATCAACAGCAACCAGTTCCCTATTGTTTTGTTTATTGTGGCATCAGAGCTAGGATAGTACCATAAGTGGGAGGGGGAAAAACAGGTGGTTGTAGTGTCAAAGTAATAAGGGTGGAAGGTGAAGGCACCCCATTCTTTATGCAAATATCTGGGAAAAGTAAAGTAAGAAAAAGGCAAGCACTGGGAGACTCATCCACACAGGAGCCAGTCAACAAGGTTTGCCTTACCTTCATTGACTGGGAAGAAGATGAAGCAAAGAGATGACCAATCAGGTCTTATATTGGCCACAGTCTGGTCTAAGCACCAGATGGGATCCACCGTCAGCTCGCTGCAATCCCAACTAGAATTTCTGAAGTTCTGAAAACATCCAGGAGCAGCCTGGGAGACAAGCTGCTAAAGGTGCAGTGCAGAATTGATCTACAGCTATTTCTTACTCCTCAGGACTATGTGTCATGAGATGGGAGACATGGGCAGCCAATGGGCAGCTGGAACAATTGTTCACACACACACACACACATACCCCACCGTCCTTTTTAAGATTACTGATGGTTTTCTCATTGAGTAAAGTATAGGAAACCTGTGACTTCCCAGAAGTTGTTGAATTTCAGCTTTCAATGTGCTGCATAAAGGATTGCACAGACCGGGGGTTGATGGGACTGCAGTCCACAAATTTCTGAAGAGCTCTACATTCTCATGTCTAGATTAAGCACTATGCCCTAGGCTAACTAGGCTCTTCTGACTTTTTTTTAGAATATTGCCAACCCCACCATCATCACCATTCACAGACAAACAGGTCTTCCACCTGTGAAATGAATTAACCTACAGTTACCCACCCTGCTCCAATTCATGGCTTCTGTTGTAATACCATGGGATACATTGCATGCCTAGATCCCAGCTTCATTTGAGCTTCTTCTTTAATTGACATTGTTGTAGCTGTTAGATTAGCTCATTCTGAAAGTTGACCAACAACCACTTAAAGTGGAGCAGCCCTCTGCTAGATGAGACAAATAACAACAGCACTATGGCACATTTGTGCCCAAACTCCTGAAAACTATAGCTTAAACATTACTTAAGTTAGCCCTATTGGTTGGTTGTTAGTTGTAAATTTAGTGATTGAAGTGTATGCTTTTTTTTTTCACCTCAGGTATGTGGTATATTATGACTTTATTCTGTTTACACTGTATTTTGTTTCTGGTTTTAATTTTCCCAGAGTCACTATGGTGAGAGGGAAGCTATATAAATTAATAAATACATTTCCTAGGACAAAGAAAATCTGAAACTGGTTGGAAAACGCTAACTCAGTGCATCAGATGAGCATTGTTTGGGGTTCTCACTCCTGCTTGTTGCCATCTATATAATGTCTCATCCTGTATTTGGTGCAATCAAAAAAAGTGCCATTTGAAAGCAACCAGAAAATAAGCTCCAAACCCTGTCAACTAATTTTAGGAAAAAGGAGAGGGAGAACGTCAGAGAAAGGAGGACTTGAGAAAAGCCTCTAAAGAAGACAAGTGGCTGTTCTCTTGAAGCAGACTGATGTGCAGACCTGATCCAAATTACCTATTCTTATTACCCCAGTAAAAGAAGGGAAAATAAGAATCCGCAATCACTTAGAGAAAGAAAGAAGAGAGGAAAGGAGGTAGGTTTGTATCTGTAATAACTCCAGCTTTGAGCTTATAACAATATATAACAATGAAGTTTAATAACAACAGCTTGCCCTCACCCTGCTGAATCTTTCCCAAATTCCAAACAGGCTGCTGAAAGCTACGCTATGCCACCTACCTCCTCTATCTGTCCACACTTCAGGTGAGTCTCAAACAAATTACTTTCTGCTACCTGCATTCATCTTACAGGGATTATCATATCAGAAAAAAAAAGAGGGGTAACTACATGCAGTTTTGAAGCCACCACCCACCCACCCCTTTCTTTCTAGTTGCACACCCAGGAAGTAGTAGAGGAGAACTTTACCTAAAAGGCCTCAAGGTGACGAGACATCTTCTGACCATTATTTTTCCATCCGAATTCACTGTGATCATGGTTCAAACTTTTCTTTTTAAAAAAAGCAAAATCAAACCGAAAGGAAGGGAAGCAGAGGTTCAGGAAGTCCAATCCCAGTTCTTAGGAGGAGCTCATGGTCAGAGAAAACTGAAGGTTGTCCAGCAAAAAGCTAGAAAAATCGACCCAAGAAGTCCATATGCCCAAAGGGTACAGGATCAGGATCAGTTTCCCTGCTAGGAGCGCTGCCTTCTTGGCTGCTTGCCTCTTAACGAGTGGTTGCTTCCAAAGACATAGGTCTGCATGCACAAGAGTGGAGGCTGGATGATGGGGTGTCTCCTCCAGGGTTCCAGTCACATTTTGGAAACAGACTGTAACAAGAAGCACAACATCTTCCCTTTCCTCCAAGTATTAAATCCACTGCCCAGGTGAGCAGCCCCCAGACTTAGACCCCTTTCTGTTCATGGGATCTCTCATCACAGCCAGACTCTCTCTGCTTACACCTGAGCCAAAAATCCTCCAGCAAAGGCTTGCCTCTTTCCCTTCTCCAAGCTGCCTTCAGCACTTCCAGAAAGCTGCCATTTCCTAGGATTGCTGCCTATTTGAGTGGTGTCTCCCAGTCAGAGCTAAAGCTGTCATGAAAAGGACTGGCTCCATCCCTGCCTGACAGACAGCTACCTTGTCTCATCCTGGCCATCCAAAACAGGCAGTTTTAGTCTTGCAAAGAGGCTGCACTGTCTCCATCTGTGAAGGATGCACTGCTCCAAACCAGGATGGGAAGACGGTTCAGCCGGAATTTGTGAGTTGGGTACCATCTAGTGGCAGCTGCAGGGAGATTCTCTAACATTTTTGTTCTGCAAATAAAGAGCTTGTAAGTCCCAGGGACAATATACCTGAAAAGTGCAATGTGATACATCTTTTGTGCAGCATGGAATGGGGCTGTGTACCACCTCCTGTCATTTGTAGGAGAGGCCTTCCCAATCAGTAATGCCAATTGCATTCATGTCATCATTACTGATCCCAACATATGCTTGAGAAAAGGACCAAGGTGTGGCCCATCAAGTCACTACCAGCCCTGGTTGACTGGGGGATTGGACAGAAAAAAGATTTGAAAAGAAAATCTGGTTCAAAATGTTCCAGTTAGATTTCTTGAGGATCGCTATTTGAAAAAGCATATTACACTGGGCTTTGCAGCTCTTTTTAGTTCACTGTTTTCAAGGAAATTCAGGGAACAACTGGGAGTATCTCTCTGATCTGTGCTAACAGAATTCAAGCATCTTTAATATACAAATGGATTAGACCAGGGGTGGGGAACCTTGGCTCTATTATGATTTGTGGACTTCAACTCCCAGAATTCCTGAGCCAGCCATGCTCAGGAATTCTGGGAGTTGAAGTCCACAAGTCATAAAAGAGCCAAGGTTCCCCACCCCTAGATTAGACCATCTGTTCAAAAACTGGGGCAACTGAGTTTTGAGGACAAATTTTCCATTTTATCCCATTTTTCCTGCTCCAAACCATGATACCTTAAAAGGTGCAAACAATGTTCTCAGAATCTCTTCTTTCCCTTCTCCCTGTTTGATTTTTCTCTTTGTCCGATTTATCCACTGCCTGAATCCTCACAGACTGTTATCTTATGGATAACAATATGTCAAAATAATAATCATCAATGTTGCATTAATCATGAATGAATTAATGAATTATTTAAATGAGTACAGTGGATCAAAGTGGCAGGTGCTCACCAGCCCCTGAAAGCCTTCCAGAAAAGCCAAGTCTTTGCTATCTTCCAGATGTCTATGAAAGGGGAAGCCATTTTTATTTGGGAGACAGGCTGTTACAAAGGGGAGGAGCCTGCAAGGACATAGCCCATCATTTGATCCTTCCTTGCCTCACCTAATGAAAGGTTTGGATCCTTAGTAAACACCTACTGACTGTTTGGATTAGCTACACAGGCTCTATCTGGGAAAGGGAGCCTCTTAGATTCCTAATAGTCCCATACTACAAAAAGCTTTAAAGATAGCGGATAAGATATTTGGGCTTTAGACATAATGGCCAACAAATTTAACTGTACTTGCTAGACAACACTGGCAACTGTTGCAATTCCTGCAGAGTGTCATTTTTGTACCATGACTGGTGAGCCATTACGTGGGCTACTGCAGCAGGATCCCCAGACTGTGAGCCTGATCTTTCTGGGGAAAAACAGTCTTGGAGTCAATATACTTCTGAATTTACAACCACTCTGACAGGTTGAGCCTTCAGCCTGTTTCTCTCTATCCAGACCTTGACAATCTCCAGGCCTGGATCAGAATCAAATCTCAGATTGGACCTGGGGTGGAGATGTGCAACTGGCTATCACCAGTTTATTGGGGATGCCTCATCCCAAAGCACTTTTCTGTAAATGTTAAACATGATAGGAAAAAGAACCAAATCCTATGGCATTCCAGAACATAATCTATATAAAGGCCTGATCTCTCCTACCCCTGCCATCACCAATTGATTCTGCTTACTCAACCACTATAACATGTTTTTCCTTCTCCCAGCCATCATAGGCAGCTAGCGGGATATTGCTATTGACAATATCAAAAGCTCCTGGGAGGTCTAAAATGGCAAATACAATTGCAATCCTTTTATTCAAGCCCCTCCATAGATCACTCCTGAGAGTGGTCAATGCAGTTTCTAAATTATGCCCAGACCTAGGGAAATCCAGAATGCTATGGATCTAATGGCAGATCTAATGGCACCCTGCCAACAAAAGTGCATATAGTCCAGGCCATGGTTTTCCCAGTTGCAATGTATGGCTGTGAAAGTTGGACCATAAGAAAGGCTGAGTGCAAAAGAATTGAGGCCTTTGAACTATGGTGCTGGAGAAGACTCCTGCGAGTCCCTTGGACTGCAAGGCGTTCAAACCGGTCAGTCCTAGAAGAGATCAACCCCGACTGCTCTTTAGAAGGCCAGATCCTGAAGTTGAAACTCAAATACTTTGGCCACCTAATGAGAAGGAAGGATTCACTGGAGAAGAGCCCAATGCTGGGAAAGATTGAGGGCAATAGAAGAAGGGGATGACAGAGAATGAGATGGCTGGATGGAGTCACTGAAGCAGTAGGTGTGAACTTAAATGGACTCCAGAAGATGGTAGAGGACAGGAAGACCTGGAGGAACGTTGTCCATGGGGTCGCGATGGGTCGGACACGACTTCGCAATTAACAACAACAACATGGATCTAAACTCTCTGTAATACCAGCTTCACTACGGGTAGTCCTCATTTAATGACCAGTTGCTTTACAGCTGTTAGAAGTTACAACAGATTATCAAAAAGGTACTTACAACCCATTTTTGAAGTTCCAATGGCCGCACACACAGCCATCTGATCCCATTTTGGGTGCTTCATAAACCAGTTTGCATTTGTGACCATTTGCAGACTCCTGCAATCATGTAACTGCAGTTTTTGTCAGGTTTTGCTGGGATCCAGAATTTACTTCCAATTTCCATCAAAAACCTCTGTTGGATATAATGGATTCGTTTAATGATCACCATGTACACTTCACAAATGCAGTGTTTATTTAACCATCACAATATTCACTTAACAACCACAGCAAAAAAGCTAAAATCAATTTTCCCCAAAATTGGGAGTTGTCAATAGAATTCATCGGCAAGAGAAATTGATTTATTCTTATCCCCTTGACACAGGCCTCACTCCTGAGAAATGGGAAGAAAGTATCTCTTGGGACATTGCCTTTCTTTGGAGAAGCATTGACTGGGTCCATCTCTCTGTCTCCTGGCTGGCTGCTTTTACCAACCAGGTACAGCAGAATCCAATTCATAGGTAGCAAAGCTCAGATTGTAGAGATCTCCATTTCCTCAAGTTCCACAAGTCCAAAAATCTCCTAGGACCTAGGTGATGTCAGAGAGCATCCCCTCAGTCATTTCAGAAGCTTCTGTCAAGCTGGGTCCCAATTCAAAGTGAACACAAGTGATTTTATCCATGAAATGCTCAGTCAGATAATCACAATTTATACTAATTGGTTCCTCTGGCCCCATCTTCTCTTAATAGAATCTGGGTCACTCTAAATAGTGTAGCAGCTGACATTGCACAGATGCATTCAGCACGGAGAAGTAATTCCACTTCAACACTTTTATTGCCATAGAATGAGCTCAGATTGAGCTCCTATCCAGTCACATTCAATTCTTGTTTTCTCCATCATCATTCCAGGCATAGGCATATCTTCACTTCTTCCAGTCCCCACAGCTCCTTGGAAAACCAATGATTGGTAGTTGAGGAGTGACGTGTTGGGACAATCCTGTGCAGCTCCTGGTTGTTTCTGTGTTCCAGAGACTGACCAGGCACTCCACAGAGCTGCCCCCAATTTGCTGGGGAAATGGGGAATCATCAAGCACCTTAGGTGAACCATCCAAATTGTCCCTTCCTCCCTGCTGGTGGCTCTGGTTAATGCTAGCAACATTAACTCCAGACCTAATTTGTCTGTGACAACCGCCTGGTGGAGATGTCTCCCAGAACCAGATCATGTCTCATGTGCTCTGGCATAAAACCCAATTTACAGTAGCCATCACTGTGTGTATGATAAGCCATGCTCCAAGTCTGCATCTGATCTGACTAAGTTAAAAGTGCTATGTGTAAGTTCTCAGTTAGTTTTGCCATGAGTTCAAGCAACTCAGGAAAATATTTCAAGATCTGGATTGCTTAAAAATATTCTATTTTACATGAGATCTTACCAGTGGTAGGATTCAGATATGTGAACAACCGGTTCTCTGTGTGGATGCCGCTTCCGGAAGTCCATTCTGGGCCTGGGCAACAAAAAATTAGCTACTGCTTTTGCCAAAGTGGTGCAAACCGGCTGAGTCCTACCACTGGAGCTTACCCTATTGTCCCTCTAGGACACCATAGAAGAAGTCAAATTAAGATGCACAAATGTGCCAGACTATCCAGTGATTTGAATTGTGTATATTACAAAAATCCTGAATTTAGAACAATATTAGGAGAACATTCAAGTGGAAATCAGATAGTTCTAGAGAAATATTTATATATTCCCAGTTTTCTATATATTTCTAGGTATCTTAGCATTCATTCCATGCTTTTCCATCAGAAATCTCACCAACTAAAGCTGGAAAAGGAGACATTTGAGGTTTGATACTGCATGAATTTTGATTTTATAAAGAACTTCTTTTTGGAAGATTTCACCTATTGAAATCAGGACTGGGTAACTAGTTTCAAATAGAAAATGTACCATTCACAGAATAGTATCAGCAAGCAAGAATCTCATTGTCATTTTTATAGTAAATTTAGAGAGCAATTTTTGGGACTTGCATGTTTTAATTTTTAACTATGACAAACTTGTCATAGGAAATTAATACCAAGTGGAAGATTAATTGTGAAAACTAGAGAATGAGCTCAGAGGACTGAGGAGAATACAGTGATCGCCAAATTATTTATAGACAGATATGCTTATAATAGGACCTTCCTAATTTTATGACTCCCAGAGGTATTGTGATTACAATTCCCTGAATTTACAGCAAGCGTGAAATTCCAGGCCAGGAGCCCCAACATAATTGGGCTGAGAAAGAAAGCCATGGAAATGACCTTGAAGAAATTAAGTGGAGATGATGGGTTGCATAACAAGGGCCACTTTGAGCCCAGGAAATAGAGGAAACATGAGAAAGAAACTGAGTGCCCCTACCCTAATTCAACAGGGTATATTGGAGAGAGAAGGGAAAAC